TGGCCGAAGAAGATAGCAATCTTCCCATGGTTATCGCCTGGGTATTTTCCGGTTTCACTCAGATCTTCCATTCAAGGTACCAGCGCTTGAGGTCGTCCAATGCACGTTGCATGTGAACGACACCGAGCTCTCGACCCATGGAAGATGAGAGGAGAGCCGTGTCATCGGCTATAGAGATATCTTCACACGCTCTGAACTTGGAAGGTCACTAGAGTAAAGTGAATACGGCCCCCCGAAATCGAATTATGTATATATAGTAGAATTAAATTCCACTCCGAGATTAACGCTAGTAGGCAGGATTATATTTGGGAACAGATGTGGATAAAAGTCACACCAAATAAAAAGTCGTATGCCAAAGGTGTTGTTTACAAACCTCACGACCAAAACACGAGTAGTTTTTTGGATGAGTGTGAAAATAGTCTTATCTCTATATGCCACACGTTAATAATATTAGGGCGGGCGCATATATACAACTGTTGCATCGACTAAACTGTTTCGTTTTGTACTTTCTACTCAACTAACAGTTCAATTGATGGAGGTGCACATACAATCGATTTTTTAATCTCCTCAAATAGACCAGTCTTTTTTCAGCAAAACTCGAGTCAAGGTATTACAAACAATGTCAATTAACAAGAAAGTTTTAGCTTGTGCTTTGCTTTATAGACATTTTGAGAGAAATAAAAAAAGAAGATACTGTGTACATCCTGTACTCAGTGATAGATTATCTAGTGGAATATTTCATACGTGACATTCTAAGCTGAAAGAACACCCAGACAAGATTTTCAAATATTATAGAATGAGTGAAGAATCGTTTAATGGAATAATTTCATTCGTGGGTCCGTATATAAAACGTCATGATACAAGATGGAGATGCGCCATATCAGTAGAAGAAAGACTTAGTGTTACTTTAAGGTAAGTAATAAATTAAAACACATTTATAATATAGTAATCAACGTTTTATTTTAATAATAATTACAGCCAGTAATTGAGTTTGTGAAGATTAAATAAAATTTTAGTTCAAGTCGAGTAGAGGACTGTGCGGTGAAAGTGTGAAATTCGATATGTAGCTTTGCAAACTATCCTCAGAGTGTTGAGAGCTTGTAGATGGGCATTGTCGGATATATTCCGGTCTAGAAGCGTCAATATAAGTTGTGGTAGATCCAGTGTAATATCCAGGTTGCTGACTTATTTGTTGTATTAAATTGTTTGGTGAATGCTGTAAGGAAATGTTTTTTGAAGGCTGTAGTGAATTGTTTGTTGAAGGTTCATGAAATTGTGAAGGCTGTAAAAAAATGTTACGTGATGGAAGTGTTACGGAAGACAGAGTATGTTGTCTGTTGTCTTTTATTCTTCGACAATCTTGCAGTGTTTCAATTTTGGCTTGAAATTTTTCGTCGTTTGCCATAGACTGTAACCTAGGAAATAAAGAGAGAGCAAACTGTTTGTCTTCATCTAAATCATCTTTTCGTATGTTCAACAAAGATTCTTCAAACTTTGGACCTGAGTTAACTTTTTTGTTCCTTGTATTTTGTCTTATAGGTATATTTGAGCTCATATTGTCAGAGGTTTTAGTCTCATCTTCGTCTTCAGCTGCAGTGGAATCTAAATTACCATCAGTGAGTCGTTCTGCCAATGAAGATTTTTAGAAATAGCATTTTTTCAAAATATCGATATTTTCGACCTTTCTTTGCCGCTTGTCCGGATGTTGTTTATTGAGCCTTCAATTCTCTTGAAAAGCAGGTTCTCAAGTTAAGCCATTTCTGCTGGACCTCTGCTCCTGTATACAATAAAAAATATGTTTGTTTATTTATTCATCTATTTAACAGATAATAATAACAAAAGTTGCAGCTTATTTCTATAATAAAGGGTGTAACGGAAAGGGGGCGTATATGTACCCGAAGGGAGATATAGAATTTACTCATGAAATTAAGCAACTTTCCCGAAAATCGCAATGAAAACATTTTTCATGAGTACATTAAACTTCCTTCGGGTGTATACCTCCTTTCCGTTACATCCTGTATATTTTTATGTGATACATATATTTTTTATAGATATCAGGCAATTGGCAACAGCTTCAATGCCCTCTCATTTACATATCGAATAGGAGCAACAACTGTAAGAGACATCGTAAGAGATACGTGTGATCGAATTTGGGCAACAATGCAACCAGTTTACATGCCTCAAAGGACAGAAGAAGATTGGGTTGAAATTGCAAATCAATTTTACACTCGAACCAATTTCCCTAATGTCATTGGCGCCCTCGGTGGCAAACATATTCAGTTAATCCAACCAGAAAACTAAGCATCTTAATTTTTCAATCATAAAAAATACCATTCTATGGTGTTAATGGCTTGGACTGATGCTGATTACAAATTTATTGTCCCATGACAATAATGGGAAAACATGCCCCTTCATCTTGTGGCTGATGATGCTTTTGGGCTTTCCAATAATATTTTACGTCCTTATTCGAAAAGAAACTTATCTAATGAAAAAAAAGTCTACAACTATAGACACACAAGAGCTCGCCGGATGGTGGAATGCACTTTTGGTATTTTAGCCAATAAATGGCGAATATTTCATAGAGGGCTTGATGTAAACCTAGATTTTTCAGAATCTATAATCAAAACATGTTGTGTACTACATAACCTCGTATGAATTGAAGATGGAATACAATTCAAAGACAGGTTTTATGACGCCCCACTAGGAAATATAATATCTCATGGTGACAACAGAGGCAGAAATCCAACCGGTGGTACAAATGTACGACAGTATTTAACGTCTTATTTTGTTTCTCCTCAAGGCTCTGTACCATGACAATACGATATAGTATAAAATGTTTTTTTAATAAATGAACAATACAATAAACTAACCTCGTTTTTTTTATTTTCTGGGTCTAGTTTCAATCTCCAATGGGAGATTTTAATCTAAATTCACTTGATTTTGAAAATTCGAACGTCAATAAGTTCAAGTCAGTTTTAGAAACGCTGAATTTGTGTCAATTGATTGATGAACCTAACAGAATCACGGCAACATCTGCAACCTTTCTGGATTATGTAATAGTTCCAGAGGGTTTCGAATGCAAAAAGGGGATCATGCAGCCCGTGATATGATCAAGAATCTATAGAAGATGAAGTTTCCTGCCTAGTGAACTCGTTAAATGATTTGTTTGATGGGCACGCTCCGATTGTAACTTCAAGAGTTATAAAACCTAGAGCACCCTGGCTAACGTTCCCCATAAAAATGATGATGGTTGAGATAGACAAGGCACTAAGTGAATATACGAGAACAAAATCAGCTGTTCATTTTCAGTCATTCCCACTGGTTGAGTGGAAGAGTAGCGTGAGCTAAACTCCGCCAGTATAAATAAAGACAATTTATTATTATTATTATTATATAAGGAAATGCATAATTACACATTTCAATCAATTAAAAGAGAGAAAAGAGCATATTTCATGCAACAATTCAGTCACTCCACTGTCACTTCAAATGATATGTGGAAGACTTTACGATATAATAAATTCCTACCTCAAAGAAATGTTGACATACCTGATATGATAAACGATCCAAATGATATTAACACATTTTTCATCAAGTCTATCCCCCAAACTTAACCATCTGATGAAATAATGAATTTTTATAAATCCAACATGCTTACATTTCATGAAATCAATGACTTATTTTCCTACGAAGCAAATTGTAGTATAAAGACTAGANATCAACCGACGACCACTCTCCACACCGTGGGGTGAGTGATTATTGGGTCCGAGAATCATGTGCCCTGAGTAAGCGCAGTCAAGAATGGCAGCCTTCTGCATCTGTCTGGCTAAGATTCCTGCCTTAATGCGGCAAGCCGGTATGATTTTGAGATTCGAGAGTAGAGAGGATATCATTCCATCAAAGACTCCAATAATCAGAACAACCATCTTGACTGATATGGAGTGGTTTAGTTAGAGGTTGCGGAGTTCAAAGAGGAAATTTCCATATTTTATACGTTTTTCCTCCTCTTTTCGGAAGATATTCGTCCCGCCAGGAGCTGAAAATTCCACGACAAATATCGTCATGCTCTGGTGGTCGAGAAGGACTTCATCAGGCTCATTAGCTTGTATGAGCCTGAGGGTAGGGAACGAATAGTTCCAATAGATTTGGCACTTCTCGTTCCCACATTCAATATCCTCCGGTGTCTCTTAGGGCCGCATTATATCGAAGGATATGCCAGATATGTCGGCAGCAAGTGCATTAGGTCGTGGACGTCTCGCGGCAGGCCCTGCACCTTGTGTCAGAAACCTCTATACCCATCATGCGACTGCTGTAGACTAAGGTGTTGAAAACACCATCCTTGCAGGCCATTATGAACCCCTCAGTTTCTGACTTCAGCCCACTCGACCTGTGGAAAGCGAAAGTCAGGCGTTTTGATAAGCCAAATTCTTCAGTGTTATTGAAAAAGACTCCATGTATTGGCTTATCCTTGTGTTGCCGCAGAAGTGAGGTGATCGCTGCGGCTTTTATATGAGACTTTTGGTGAACGGGTTCCAACTCGGTGACAGAATTGTGATCACCTCGTTTCATCCAGTACCATTCTGTCATTTTTATTGTTACTATTATTATGACTACTCCCATTATAATAATGTTCATATTTGAAAAAGTTCCTGCTTTTGGTGATATATGGAAATCAATGTAATATTCATCAACCGAACGCGCAAACATTGAACTGTACAAGACCAAGCATAACAATGATTTCAATTTGTAGAGCATACACCAAAATAACGATCCTGAAAAGTCCTTTGAATTATTCCCATCTAATCATGAATCACAGCAGAAAACCACAACAAACACAAAAAACTAACCCGCAGATAATAATTTGATTTACAAAAAAAAATCTCGCTCGGTCGCATTCAGTCTAATTTTAAATTCATTGCGAAATTTGTGAAAGTTTGCAGACCTGCGCAACGTTTGCGAAATGTACGTAAGGCCCTATTGGACTTTCAGTTGCAACGCGACGTCTCATCCGACTAGCCGTTTACTGGCGTCGTTTCCAAAACTTCGAGCGTAAATAACACTCTGCTATTTTTGAAATAAAGTCGTTGGTTTTGCTATCCCAAAATGAAAGGAATGAACTACTGAAAAACCCTGATGATTTATTATAGAAACAAATTCTGAATTATTATGTGAAGTGTGTTATTCAAATCACAAACGACCAAGGTGTTAGAATGACAGGCCAAAATAAAAGTGAAATGTGTAATTTATTACTCAGAATTTTCTATGTTATTGGTAAGGGAACTTATGTGGCTTTTTTGGTACTCTATTCACAAAACCAGTAATTCTTGTAGTTAGAAAGTGCTTTGAGAGACTTATAAACGAATTATATTGGCCCCTATTTGATTTTCAGTGTCATAAAAAGTAGCCGTCTACTGAATCGATGGAAAAACAAATAGTTGGTGAAAAATTGTACTCAGACAAACTTTTTCCAATGACTTCGATCGTAATTATTGTGAAATTTCTTAATTTTTTTAGATTACTAAAATTTATTTATTAGTTATTTTTACGAGCAGCAATCATTGAAGAAACTTTTCTCGTATATGGTGGAAAATCGTTGAAATCATTTTCAATAATTATTTGATAATGGAATTCAAGAATAATTTCTCCTACAATATTCTTTCTTGTTCTCAAGGCAACTATTCCATGTGACAATATCCAAAGGATACATTAGGTTACTTATTTGCCAGATTCAGACAGATAACTATCAATTTATAGATGAATATCGAATATATACTATATTTCTCCTGTTTCATACATAAAACACTAGATTTTTGGGAAACAAAATCTTTAAAACTAATTCATACAGGTTATTGTATGATTTCCACTATAAAGTGTTTTACAAAAACCGCGATACGTGTTTCGTTATACAATAGCTTTCTCAAGCGTAAAATAATAAGTTACTTCCAATGAACAAGTAGGTATAGTGTTTCCAATACCAATTGGAACAGCACACATAAGGAATTCCCGCCTCGACATAGGCGTCGGCATAATATTTTTCAGTGGTAGTTTTTCAGTTACTTATTCTCACAATCATAGCAATTGATCACCCCATGAAAAAGTTACCCCAACTGAATTTTTCCATCNATATAAACAGCTAACCCTTGTCTTTAGATTCAGTATCAATTTGCTTCTCCTGAAGATGCTAACCTTGTTAGCGAAACGCGCGTCGAGTGCAAAAATATCAGTTTGGTGTTAAGGTAAAGGATCTCTAGAAAAAGTTTTCAAAAATCGGTTTGCAAAACCACTCAATACCTCACCTTACCCCACGAACACACGGCACTGATGAAGAAATATTGTGAAACGGACAAAAAAATTAGTATTCAGCCAGTCCATCTAGCCGAGCCTTTATTCCTCAACTACATTTGATAGCACGTTTACTTAGTATCTGGGCGACTAGGGGCCACCGGCCCCAGCAGGAATTGGACAGTTTTCCACGACCACTAATAGAATGGTATTTCACGTTGGAACGTAAAAAAACCCTTTAAGAAAAAAAGTACCAATCAATATTCAAGAAGACAAAAAATCTTGAAAATGAGTAGTACCCAACCATGCGTCGTAACGCAAATTGGAATCAATGAAACCAACAAGAAAATAATTATTTAGATTTGCTTCAATTTTGTTGGTCTGGCAACCCCGCGAGGCCAAAAATCAATTCGAACTAATGAAACCTACCATAAATTAATCAAATACGAAAATAAAAATAGAACCCGTAGATTTCAGGTTTCTTAGGAAATTTGGCAACATGGCAAAATAATAAATTATCTAAGAGGTGAATTACAATATTTAAAAAAGTTATTCAACTCGTATTTCAGTTTGTGTGAACACAAAATACGTAGTTATTCATCCCTATGAATTCACAATAATAATGAATTAAAAAAAAAGTTAACGCAACAAAAACTCAGAAGCAGACAAAACTTTTTTTTCCATCCATCTTTTACACTAAAGTTGCATTGTTTAAAAAAAATACTTTTGCTACAAATTCTAACAGTATATCTCTGTTTAAAAATCTGTTTTCCCGTTAATCAGCTGTCGCCCCCATACGAACGACCACTCTTAGAAGTTGAGAAACTTGTGCGAGCTAAGGACTAACGAGGCCTTACCTTCTATCGTGTGATTCCTAACACGGTACCACAAGAAAGCTAACATTTTGTTTAATGAAAGAAATTAATGAAATACAAGTTTTGGGTCACATCAAACTCTGTAAACGATAAGTTGATCCATTCATGTTTCCATTTGAATGAGAACAAAATATTAAAAACATACCTTGGAGCTGGCAAGGGTTTTTTTCATCAGTAGGGGTCAACGAAAATATTCTGGAAACAGATTTTCATAATTCCTGGTTTTCTGAACGATCTCAGAAATGATTCGTCGAATCTATCCTTTTGGTGCTATGCCCAACAAGCCTTGACAACGTAGGGTTGTGAACTTTGAATGATCTTCGGCGAGGAGAATGAAAACCACGTTCAAAGTAATACCCAATATTCGCAACGTGAACCAATTTTCACTCATTGAAACCTCGGAAAATAATCCTCATAAGAGAAGTCACCAATGACAAATTATCCAATAGGTTTCCAACAATTTCACTTACAGCCACCTCAAAAACAATAATGGCTTTTTAAGGTGATTCCAAATATTTCACATTTTTTCCAGGTAGAAAAAAAAATCAAACGCATGTCTCTACGTCACTAATGATTGAAAGCTAGACCAATCAGAATGGGTCACGGGAAAGGTACTTTCGGTCGATTGATAATACCAAATTATGCGATCGAAACTGAATCAACTGAGACACGGATACTACTCAGAAAAAATTAAATTCCATTTCCTTGGAGATATCTAGGTTATTTATCCAATTTAGAAATTCTTCCCAGTGGTTATTGCCATAACCAAAATTGAATATACTGTTATAGATTCACTAGTTCGGACTTCCATTGTCTACTATATAAAATGATTTGAAATCCCTGAAACAAGTAAAAAAGAATAATTAAAAAAGAATAGTTGAAAATAACAATTATATTAAGCAACAATGAACCTGAAATGAAATGATAGTGAAATAACCTACAAGTAAATTGTCCGAAAATCATTTGAAATCAAATATCACATTTCTCTTAGAAATATCAGATGAATCATTGAAGAAATAATATGAAGTTTATTGAAATGGAAAAGAAACTAATTTTCGTACGTGTCGCCAATCAATAATTTAGGGTTATTAGTGACGTGAAAGTATACCGTTACGCTAGTTACACACACCGATTTTGGATGGCCGACTTTGTACCGGTCGTCCAAATTCCAATAGTGAACCACATGTGGGACCTTGCACACACGCCGACCGGTGATCGTCGCCGGTAAAATACCAGTGAGCAGCCGTCCACTGCCACTGTCTCGCTGGCAGTACCGGGAAGTAGTGGCGTACAGACTAAATACACTCTTGCATACTCACCGGTTTTTTACCGACTATTCCAGTCTCGAATGCTCGGTGAAATTGTAGTTACTACACATTAACTTCGTTTTGGTAGTGCGTACTAATTACGACAACAAAGCAACTGATTGTTTGACCGATAAAAATCCGGTGAGTGTGCAAGCACCCGCTACCAATAAAATATCGGCCGATTTTATACTGGTCGTCCAAAATCGGTGTGTGTACAACTAGCGTTACGCTAAATGCAAACAAATTGATTTTGGACGATCGATTTTATACCGGTCGTCCAAATTCCAATCGTTAACCACATATGGGTACGGGACCTGGCACACACGCCGACCGGTGATCGGCGTCGATCACCGGTATAAAATCGGCCGTCCACAATCGTTGAGTGTGCAAGTAGTCTACATGCCGACAGACCAAATGCTCGTTCATATTTAAGAAGCGATGCAACACTTTTAAATTTAAGTGTATAGTATATACGAAGTCAATTCGAATGGCATGAAAAGTAAATGGTAATTTTTTTATCGACCTTTTTTGGGTAATTGTTACCTTCCACAATCTGAAAAATTTAAAAATTATAATGGAGAACTTTATACAAGTGTAGAAGGGCGAACTTTTTAGTTTACCCCGATAAGTTACTGCGTAAAAATCAAAGTATTTTTCTTCTATTTATCAGTAACTTGTCGTATTTAACAATTTTGCCTATGAAAAAAATTATTAAGAAATAATACTTATCTTTTACGTTTCGGAGGCCAAAATCTGCTCCGTCTTCAGAAATGGATAAAAATTCGAATATATTCGCAGTTATTCCTTTTTTGATACCTTATTTCTTTACTTCTTCGACAGATGTCAAAGAAGTTTTGAAATATGAAATTATGTCAATGTTGTTGATTGACAACTGAAACATTCGATGTAATACAATAAATTGCCCTTCTACACTTGTATAAAGTTCTCCATTATGATTTTTATATTTTTCAGACTGTGGAAGGTAACAATTACCCAAAAAAGGTCGATAAAAAAACTGATTTTTTCCTCCACAAAAAATGACTTTGGTTGAATAAATAATAATATCGTCTGTATTATCTTCCAATACATTTAAAGCAAATTAATCAGGTACAGTTCATTTATTATATGAAGATTAAAGGCGAAGTTCAATTTACTTGATGACAAGTCATCATTCAATTGCCTAATAGTTACCGAATGTTGGCAGTTTCTCCGTATGGCATTGCCGGCGTGGTGGGAGGTTTTATATGGAAAAAACTAGTATATTCATCAGACCCGTACATTAGTCTTTTATTTATCTCTTGGGATTGAATTCGTATAGACTATACCTGTGAACTGAACGAATGAGTTTGTCATTTAATAACTTCAAATATACAAATACGAGTATGTTTTGAATTCTAGACGCAGTAAATATTCATAATGAAAGTAATGCTCTTGGGATGGATTCTTGCACCAGAATTCGCGAGAAATTCGTTTCTATCACCTAAGAACCTCTAGAGGAATACTTTCATCAATATTCAAATGAATCGACATTCACTGCATACTAAGAAACGTGTGATATCTGTGACTAATGACTAGAAAACCATCAAAACTAGTCTTATCAAAATGCTCACAAATATTTTCAATACTACCTACCGAGTAGATTAATTTGAATTTTATAATGAATACATATTCTTGTACCAAGTTATTTTATATTCGTTACACTTGGTGAACTTTGGCATCAATAATGTTGATTTTGAGTTTTTTCACGATTAATTCTCAATTTATATTCATTCTTTCGGATGAACTCCCAAAAAAGCGATAAAAATGATGAAGTAATCAGAACTTCAAGAGAACTTTCGTGTCGGTAACAGTGAAGTAGTTAAAAGTTTCTACACGGTTATATTATATTGAATTGTAAAATTCATTCATTAGCCTCATTCCAAACACAGTAATACACTAGTAATAGTAATGCAATCAGCATTATATTCATATAAGACAAAAATAGTTCAAAAACTAGAAGATGAGATTTTTAAAATTCATTGTATTTAGTAATAATGGTTTTAGTGAGTTCTTGACAGCAGGGTACCTTGTCCACTTTCAAATCTCAGGATCATTTTGGCTCGCCTTGTTGAAACGAAACTATTAACAAAAATAACATTTTTGCCTCAATGATTGATCGAACTCTCGTGGAAAAAGAATGTTTATACAAATGGAAACTATACAAGGATATTTTCCATTCATATCAATTTCTATTTTGTTTCATCCAAAGTAGCCGTTCTCAGATATAATACACGTGTAATAACGTTTTTTCCAATCCTTGAAGTAGTTCTCATATGCACTTTTTGGTATGTCGTCACCGATTCGGTTTTTATCTCCTCAATCGTCACCATTCAATTTCCATTTTGTTTCATCCAAAGTAGCCGTTCTCAGATATAATACACGTGTATTAACGTTTTTTCCAATCCTTGAAGTAGTTCTCATATGCACTTTTTGGTATGTCGTCACCGATTCGGTTTCTATCTCCTCAATCGTCGTGAAACGCCGTTCTTTCAGGGGTCTCTTCAATCTTGGGTACAGAAAAAAATGGCAAGGTGCCAAATCTGGTGAATACGGTGGCTGAGGCATTATTACACTATTGTTTTCGGCCAAACAATCACGAACAAGCAATGACGAGTGAGCAGGTGAATTATCGTGATGCAAAAGCCATGGATGGTTTTTCCATAATAACGAACTTTTTCTTCGTATTGCTTTCAGCAAGCGGCGCATAACTTCAAGATAATACTCCTTATTGACCTTACGACCATGTGGCAAGAACTCCTGATGCACTATGTCATGGTCATCGAAGAAAACAGTGAGCAAAACCTTCACACTAGTAATAGTAATGCAATCAGCATTATATTCATATAAGACGAAAACAGTTCAAAAACTAGAAGATGAGATTTTTAAGATTCATTGTCATTTCGAAAACTGTTTAGAAATACCTATTTCATGAACTAGCTTGGAATATGCTGAAAACTGAATATATTGAATGAAATGCTGGACATTCAATTATCGCAGTCTCTCTATAGAGTAGGCGTTGACAAATATGACTGAAATGGAATTACATCCAGGGGGGTAAATCTGGTGAATACGGTGGCTGATGCATGATTGCGGTGTTGTTTTGGCCAAGAAATAACAATAAAATGTTCACTTCTTGCAAGAAGTGGAGTAAGTGATCATTGGGTCCGAGAATAATGTGCCCTGAGCAAGCGCAGTGAGCCAAGAATGACAGCATTCTGCATCTGTGCGGCTAAGATTTCTGCCTCAGTGCGGCAAGCCGGTATGATTTTGAGATTCGAGAGTAGAGAGGACATCATTCCACTATACGACCTTGTGGTTAAAACTCATGATGCAACACGTCACGGTATTTGACGTAAACAGTGAGCAAAACCTGGACATTTTATCAAATTTGGCGTGCTTTCCTTGGTTTCGGCTCTTCTATTGGGACGACTGGACTTTGGTTTTGATGTCATAATCATATACCCGTGATTCGACACGAGTTATGATCATTTCAAGCGAATCTGGAAAGACGTCATTCAACAGTTTCTGAGCGATGTTCATGCGACGGTTTTTTGATCAAAATTCAGCGTAATTTTGTAATGAACTTCGTTGCCACAAGCTTCATACCCAAAATTGAAAAAATGCATGGTATGAGCCAACCGATATGCTGACATCCTCAGCAACTTCTGTAATAGTGATTTGATGATTNACGGAAACCTGGTTGAGAGAAAGAGTGTTGGATTCTGAGCTTTTCCCTATAAACTACAGCGTCTAACGAAATGATCGTTCACTTGGATCCCGAGGCGGGGGAGTATTACTTGCTTTTGATTCTCAGTATTGGAATACTGAACTTGTTGATATTTTTTCACCTATTTCATCTGTTGATCTTTTATGTGTCCAAAAATCCTAAGTTTAAATAAATTTTTGTGATTTATATTTCGCCATCAACTGCTCTTGATCAATACGATGCTTTGTTTGAATTTTTTTTTAAAACTTTCAAGGTATCAGTGAGTCTCTCATAGTTGGTGATTTCAATATTACAGGACTACAAGACTATTATCTGAACAATCAGTCATCAAACCTAGTTCTGAGATTCAACTCATTTCTTTACTATTGAATTTATTGGAGCTTCTGGAGACACCCTACATTTTGTTTTATGAGAGAGAGGACATTGTTAGATCAAGATCTTCAGATGATGTGGTGCTGCAGGTTTTTCCGGGTTTTCCTGCAGCTGAAAAAGCAAATGCGCCACTGGAATCAATGAAGTCGCCCCGGAGCGCCAATTA